CCTCCCACTAAGTCGTAATACGCGCCGGGAGCGCGCTCCCCATTTGCATACCGACCAGGCGGACTCGTTTCCACTTCCAAGCTCAAGCCAGGCGCCGCAGGCCATAAAGAGGAGCGCAGATTAAAATGGCGCCGGAGGCTCCCCGCGGGGCCGTCCGCGCAGAGAACCTTTGTCTAAAAACAAAACAAGAAAATCGATGAGACACCACTAGGGGCTGGGGGGCTCCGATCTCCATCTCTCCAGTACTCTCCAATCTCCAGCGTCGCTACATCTTAGGCCGGATCCAGTCAGATCTCCGATCTCCATCTTCCATCTCCAATCTCCAACGTCGTCATCTTAGGCCGGATTCAGTCAGATCTCCGATCTCCATCTCCAATCTCCAATCTCCAATCTCGATTCGGGGGCCCGGGGGAGGAGGGGGGCTCAAACCTTCAAGGAGATGCGCTATGGATTCATTCACATAGCAAAAGGATCTCCACACTCTTTTCGCGCCATTTTGCAATCTCCAGTCGGCCCACACGATCTCTAGGCGCCTTTGGCGCGAAGTCAGAATCTCCACCTCTGTCGCAAGATCTCAAGCGACTGCACGCACCAACTCGAGATCTCAGACTCCTCTCGAGCATCTACTCCGGAGAAGATTTGCCTCCACCAGTTCTTCAATCTACTGCTGCTCTTGGCAGGAGATTTGCCACTTAAGAGATCTCTGAAAGGCATCTACGATCTACAGTCCAAGGATCTTCCGATGTAGCGCAGAGATTTCCATGTATGGCTTTGGTGAAAAAAAGGGCCACGAGCAGTTGTTCCAGAGATGTCCAAAAGCGCAAAAGCCTGAGACGTGAGAGGCGCCGTAAAATAAGAAACACACACACACACACACACGAGTCTATGAGGCGAGAGCTGTACGGCTCTTTAAGAGCGATCCAAGCGACAGAACGGCGCTCCGCTCACTGGCTGGAAAAACTCGGGAACTTGTCATACGCCGCCGGGTGCCTCGCCATGTGCTCCTGCAGCGCGGCACGTTGTTGCTGCAGCGCCGGCGGCTCCACGTCCCACACGTCCGTGAAGAGGTGGTGCGGCGACGGCCTCCCCGCCTCCTCCGCCGCCGACAGCGCCGCGATCGCCTCCTTGCGCAGCGCGCGCCGCATCCGCTCCTCGTCAGCACCACTGAAGCAGCCGCGCTGGTGAAGGTAGCGCCCAAAGCGGACGATCGGAGAGCGCGCCTCCCAGTAGGAGCGCTCGTCGTCCCACCCCTCCTCGGGCGCAGAAGGCTCGCGGTACTTTGAGTCGTCGTCAGAGGTCGAGTGAGCGCCGACACGGTACGTCATCGCCTGCGACGGTCAGGCACAGAGGCACGTCATCGAGACACCACGATCTAGCCGAGATCTAGCCGAGATACAACCGAGATACAGCCGAGATCCAGCCGAGATCCCGCCAAGATACAGCCGAGATACAGCCGAGATACAGCCGAACTACAGCCGAGATACAGCCGAACTACAGCCGAGATACAGCCGAACTACAGCCGAGATACAGCCGAACTACAGCCGAGATACAGCCGAACTACAGCCGAGCTACAGCCGAGCTACAGCCGAGATGCAGCCAAGCTACAGCCGAGATCGCTCCTCCACCAAGGTCGGCCTCCCTTGCTCGGCTCCGATGGCGCGCGCGGCGGCAGTCGCCGCGTAGACCGCAAGCAGGTCGTTGCCGTCGACGCGTATCGTCGGCATGCCATACGCGAACCTGCTCAGCTGTGCGATTGAGAGAACAGTGCCTGGTGCTGCGCTGCGCGCTACTGCTCGCCGCATCTCAACACACACCCTGGCGCATCTCGGCGCATCTCGGCGCATCTCGGCGCATCTCGGCGCATCTCGGCGCATCTCGGCGCATCTCGGCGCATCTCGGCGCATCTCGGCGAATCTCGCGCCCGCGCGGCGCGACGCCGTCGGAAGAGTACTGCTCCGAGGCGTTTGTCGAGATGGCGTAGCCGTTGTTGCGGCAGAAGAAGATCGTGGGGCAGCCGTGGACGGCGGCGATGTTGAAGGCGGAAGGCACATCTCCCTCCGACGCGCACCCCTCGCCGAAATAGGTCAGCGCGACCTGCCCGCCGCCCCGCCGCTTCATGCCGTACCCGACGCCTGCCGCGGGTAATCTCGGGTAATCTCGGGTAATCTCGGGTAATCTCGGGTAATCTCGCCGCTTCATGCCGTACCCCACGCCTGCCGCGTGCGGGCACTGCGTGCCGAGGGTCGACTTGACGTAGACGATCCTAGGAGAGAAGGTTCCGAGAGAGTTCAGAGAAGCTTCGCACTGCGTGCCGAGGGTCGACTTGGCTAGGCGATCCTCCGCTCGTACGACCCGTAGTGCAGAGGCAGCTGCCGTCCGTGCGCGGGGTCGTGCCGGTTGCCCGTGGCCTGGTTGGCGATGTCCATATAAGTCATCCCTCGCCACAGCGCAGAGCCCAGCTCGCGGTACTGCGGCAGCATCCAGTCGTCCTCGCGCAGCGCCGCCGCCGAGCCGACGGAGCACGCCTCCTCGCCGCGCGAGGTGAGGTAGAAGGAGATGCGGCCCTGCCGCTGCGCGTCGTTGAAGACCTTGTCAAACTCGGAGACTCGCAGCATGGTCTCCATCATGCGGAGGCAGACCTCCTCGTCAAGCTGCGGGACGTGTGCCTCTGCGCCCGGCACGACCTCGCCCAAGTCGTCGACCAGGCGGAAGCAGGGCATCGGAGAGGGAGGAGGGCCCTCCTCGGGGCACCAGAAGCGAAGCTCGCTCGTGTAGCTCGACCGCGCCCCCACGAAGAGCGTGCGCTCCGCGGCTGCGGCGGCGGCTGCACCGGCAGCCCCGCCCGCTCCGTTGGCTGCCGCCGCATCGCGCAGCGCCGACAGCTCGGCTCGCAAGCGCGCATTCTCGGCGGCGAGGTCGGCGGGCGAGGTGGAGAGGAGGCGGGAGGCCGGCCGCCAGCGCGAGGAGGCGCGCCGCAGGGAGAGCATCTGGAAGGCCGCTCCCGCGTCAAATAAAAGAATTTCCAAGGCGCTACATGCACAATGTCGTCCTTGCTCGAGGAGAGCTCGATAGACTCGAGGGGCCAGGATATGCAGCGAGGAGGGCGGAGCTGCGCCGAAAGGCGCAAGAAGCCGCGAGAGCAAGGGACCGGCAGGAGGCGGCGGCGCCGCAGAACGAAGCAGAGGAGAGCGACGCGACAGAAGAAGAATTTAAACAAAAGAACTCTCTCTCACAGCAGACAGGCTCGACACAGTGAAGAAGAGACAAGGGAAAGAACGACGAGAAGGGGGCGACCGCGAGGTGGCATGAAGGTCGCAGCGAGAATCTGCGAGAGACTGCGAAGAGAGATAGGAAGAGGCGGACGCCCAAGGGTGGGCGACGGCTAGCGCATCACACCCCTCTCCTTAAAATCCCTGTGTGGTGGCGGCGTGCCGTCCTCCCATCCCTCCCTTGGGTTGTCCGTTTTCTTTCTTTCTTTTTTGTGGTTTTAAAATCCCTGTGTGGTGGCGGCGTGCCGTCCTCCCATCCCTCCCTTGGGTTGTTGTTTTCTTTCTTGTGCGAGGGAGTTTTGTTGTAAAATTCTTTCTTTCTTTGTGGTTTTCGGTTTGTTGTTGGCAAATCAAGACACAGAGCTAATGTGGTGGGTAAACCATAAAAGTAGATTTGAATTCGTCCACGCGTACGAGTTCATTTTAATTGAGTCGTCCACGTACGGCTTCGTGAGTGGTTGGGGTGGCCTCAAGCATCCCCAAGGGAGCCTCTGCGGTGCCACATAAGCAGCTTGGTGATTGTCGAGATTTTAAAGCATTCGCTTGGTGCACGGCGCGGCGGCGCGAGGCCAGCCTTGAGCACCTTTACGGTCGCCCAGGCGGCCGCGGATCCCGTGGCGCCGCAGATGCCATCGTTGATGGCGGTGCATTTGCCGAGGATCCAATCCGACTTGGCACGGGACCTCCCCCCCAGCAGCAGAGCTCTGCTGCTGGGTCAGACCCCCCCCCCCAGCAGCAGGGATGGCTTTAGATGTGCAGGGGGGGTACCGAGCAGTGTGCGGTCGCTCTAGGT